CGCGCCCGCCGCACCCTTTCCTCAGCCAGCCCGGCCGCTCCTCCGCCCCTCCGACCCGACCCGGCAGCCTCTTTGAGCTCCTGGGTGGCCCAGGCCTGGCCTCGACGCGCAGCTGCTTCCTGGGCCGGGTCTGCGGCCCTTGGGCCTTCCGCCGGCCCAGCCGCCCGGGGGGCCCCGCGCTCGGGCTGCCCCGGCCCGGCCGTCCCGAGCTAGGGCTGACAAGACGCAGCCCAGCTGGGCGGGCGGGCAGGGCTGGCGGGAGGTGATCGGCTTTCATTCGGTTTCCCAGGGACTAGGAAGGGCTGGGGGTGGGGCACAGGTGGGGGCCTCCCCTACCTCCCCTCCCCTCGTCCCTCCTTCCCTTTGCCGAGTGATCAGAGAAGCTTCCTGGCTTCACCTTCCCTGGAGGAGAGCCAGGGTTGGCAATGAGACTGCGAGCCCAGACCAGGGGTCCCTGGGTCTGGCAGCCATTCATGCCAGAAAAAAGAACCCCGGAAAACAAAAAACAGTTGTGTGGTGCAGCCCAATGTTGTAGCGCTCAGAAAAGCCCACCTCCCCTGTATCTGTCCTGAGAAGGCTTGGATAATCCAGTGGTACCTGATTGTTCATGCAACCTGCTGCCTCCACCCAGAGCAGCCACTCCTTTCCTCCCTCCCTTCCCGGAAGATGCTGAGGATGACAGCTTTTAGCTTGACTCTTCTGTTTGTTTGGCAGAACAGTTAGAGACCAGGCTGGCCTGTGAAGGCATCCCCTTCCTTCTTCCTCTGCTCAGGAGAAAACTTACAAACTTTTAAATGTGAGAGGCAGATGAGCTGGGAACCTGGAAGTGGGTTGCATCTGATTCTAAAAAGTTCCTCCCTCTCACTGGCATTACCTTATGCTGCCACAAAGTGGTGAGTTAGAGACTTGCCTGGGCTGGGTGGGTTTTACCTCCCATTCATTACCCAGAAACAGACTTGGAGCAGGGGAATGGGGTTGTCTCTAGAAAAGCGATAAGGAGAAATGCTGTGTAGTTAGCATGCTACATCCTACACTACCAGTGCAGACCAGTGCACTATCTTACATTTTCCTGCAGGCCGCAATACAGTCATATTCAGAAGATTTAGGATTTTTTTTTTCTTTAGGAAATGATTACAGTGAGGAAGTTCTCCTGTGTGGACATTGAGGCTTGGTGGGTCTGTGGACCTGTCATCTAGTCCCCATCATGCACTGGCTTATAAGATCATCCATCCTGTTATGGTGGAAAGATGACAGGATAGTTGGAGGGGGTGTGGATCAGCCACTCACAGGAGAGGGTTTCGGGGTTGGTCTTTTGTTCCATGTAGTTGTGCTAAATATTAGACACCAGAGTCCATTTGCCAGTGGGCTCTCAGACCTGGGAGGTCAAGGCTTTTTGGCTCATTAGGCTGTTTTCCTGACCAGTAGCATCCTGATTCAGGGTGGCAGTGGGAGAGGAACTAGTAGGCTTCAAGGAGGCCTCAGTATTGTGGTCAACATCCCAGACACCTGGCTAAAGAAGGTTGACAGGAAGCAGGAGGGGACTCGTGGGTGCTCTAGCCCAGGGGTGGGGAACTGAGCTAGGTGGGAGGGGATACAGCTGCCATCCCCTTTGCCTGGAGGAGTTGAGCTGTCAGCAGACCACTTTGGTCACAGATGAAAGAAGTAGATGTCCCAGCCCTGAGCACCTCTCCCTTCCATGGTGTGGTTATGTCCATGTGGTGAGTGCTGTCAGAGTGGGGAGAGGACCCAGGGAACAGCTGCTCATTCCTGCCTCAAGCTCATGATTTCTTTCTTCCCTACAGAACCAATCACTGGGGAAGGCAGAGCCTCCCTGGCATTGCTGGGACCCTGCCTCGAAGAGCCCCTCCTGTCCCGTAGTCTGTCTTCTTGGTTAATGACTTGGGCTGTCCGACCAGTCCCACTTCTGTGCCTTGTCTGAGGTCCTTGTCCATCCCTGAGATTGGGCAGCTTCTCTCTCTGGGTTGGGTCACTTTAAGCGGGAAACTGAAGCCATTACTCTCCAAACCCTGTTTCATCTTCCCAAGTATGTCAGAAAGCTGGCAGCAGCCGCCACAGACACAGCCGCAGCAGCCGCAGCCACCGCAGCCACAGCACCATGCAGAGCCACCGCCAGCCCTGGCGGAACACACTCTGCCCCCAGGCACAGCTGAGAACCCACTGGGCTGTGCCGTCTATGGCATCCTCCTACAGCCAGATCCAGGCCTACAGCCCCCACAACATGCACCTCTGCAGGCAGCTGGTGAGCCAGGCCCCAAATGCGGTGTGTGTGGTCACGATCTGGCACACCTGTCCAGCCCACACGAGCACCAGTGCCTGGCAGGCCATGACCGCTCATTCCAGTGTACCCAGTGTCTCAAGATCTTCCACCAGGCTACTGACCTGCTGGAGCACCAGTGCGTGCAGGCTGAGCAGAAGCCTTTTGTCTGTGGCGTCTGCAAGATGGGCTTCTCACTGCTCACCTCGCTGGCTCAGCACCACAGTGCCCACACTGGCCTGGTGAAGTGTTCCATCTGTGAGAAGACCTACAAGCCCACCGAGGCAACCGAGCCTTCGACCACTGCCGCCCCATCACTTCCTGCAGCACCCCCGCCATCTGCTGTCCCCCCAGCAGAACAGGCCGATAAGCCCTACAGCTGCCCCATCTGCCAGAAGCCCTTCAAGCACCTGTCGGAGCTCTCCCGGCATGAGCGGATCCACACAGGCGAGAAGCCGTACAAGTGCACACTGTGCGACAAGAGCTTCAGCCAGTCTTCCCACCTGGTGCACCACAAGCGCACGCACAGCTCCGAGCGGCCTTACAAGTGCGCTGTCTGCGAGAAGACCTTCAAGCACCGCTCTCACCTGGTGCGCCACATGTACGCGCACTCGGGCGAACACCACCTATTCCGCTGCAATGTGTGCGAGCTGCATTTCAAGGAGTCGTCAGAGCTGCTGCAGCACCCCTGCACGCCGAGCGGGGAGCGGCCCTTCCGCTGCGGCGAGTGTCAGAAGGCCTTCAAGCGGCCGTCGGACTTGCGGCAGCACGAGCGCACCCACAGTGCGGAGCGGCCCTTCAAGTGTGACCTGTGTCCCATGGGCTTCAAGCAGCAGTACGCGCTCATGCGGCACCGGCGCACGCACAAGACCGAGGAGCCCTTTAAGTGTGGGCTGTGCGAGAAGGGCTTTGGGCAGCCCAGCCACCTGCTCTACCACCAGCACGTGCACACCCTTGAGACTCTCTTCAAGTGCCCCGTGTGCCAGAAGGGCTTTGACCAGTCGGCTGAGCTGCTGCGGCACAAGTGCCTGCCAGGCGCAGCGGAGAGGCCCTTCAAGTGCCCAGTGTGCAATAAGGCCTACAAGCGGGCCTCGGCCCTGCAGAAGCATCAGCTGGCCCACTGCTCAGCAGCGGAGAAACCCCTTCGCTGCACCATGTGCGAGCGCCGCTTCTTCTCCTCCTCCGAGTTTGTGCAGCACCGTTGCGACCCAGCCCGTGAGAAGCCGCTCAAGTGCCCGGACTGCGAGAAACGCTTCAAGTACGCGTCAGACCTGCAGCGGCACCGGCGGGTACACACCGGAGAGAAGCCCTACAAGTGCCCCAACTGTGACAAAGCCTTCAAGCAGCGGGAGCATCTCAACAAGCACCAGGGCGTGCACGCCCGCGAGCAGCAGTTCAAGTGCGTGTGGTGTGGGGAGCGCTTCCTGGACGTGGCCCTGTTGCAAGAGCACAGCGCGCAGCACAGTGCTGCAGCTGCAGCCGCTGAGGGTGCCTACCAGGTAGCCGCCTGCCTGCCCTGAGTCGACGCTCTGGGCCCATCAGGCCCAGCCCAGCCCAGGCAGCCCCCAGCCCAGATCTATGTTCTGAGGCCCTGAGGGTGAGGTCAGAAGGGGACTAGGCAGGTGGAGGATGTGGGCACTCAGCACTCCAGGCACCAGCCTGGCAGTGGGGGAGCCAGATTGCTGTGGTCAGTCCTCATCCCATAAATCTCTTGCCCATTGCAGGATTCGCTTTTTTGAGAGCCGTCAGTCTCCCTTATATCTGCAGGATTGGAACCAGGCTGGAAGTCAAGTACCCTCTCCCTGCCCCAAGGATGGGAGATACCAGCCCAACCTTCCCAAATCTTTCAGCCTAATTAGAACTCAGACAGGTTAGGAAAAAGGATGGTCCTGGAACCCAGAGGTAGGGCATCAAGTTGATGTTCTGGGGAGGTCAGCTTTGTGATGTAGTATTGGGGACCAGAATGGGTCCAGCCAGGGGCAGTATGACCCCCAAGGTTTCTAACAGGCAAAATGTGCAGAATCTTTGGGCTGAGTCTGCCTAGAGGCCAGTGGGCCCAGCCAGAAGGGAGAAGCAGAGAGGTTTCTGTGATACCTCAGCCAAGGGACAGTGCCATCATGGGGAGAGGAAAGATAGCCTGTTTGTGCAGAGGGCTAATCTCATTGTTTTGGAAACACCCCCCCCCCCCGTCTCCCGCAATATGGTTCTGAATTGTAGTGGGGACCATGCTCTCAGCCAGACAGAACTGCTGATGTGGAAGGAGGGGTTGTTTCCTCCCTGCGGCTGGGAGGAAGAGGGCCCAGCCCCTGATCTTCCCAACAGATACAAACAAGTGTCCTCCCTCCCCCTGAATTATGTGAACCAAAGTGTCAGGGGCTCAGCCCCAATTAGCTTGCCCCAGCCCTGTCCCAGGCCTGGATACCTAGGGTGGTGGAACAGCCTCTAACCTCACAGTGTCCTTCCAGCCCATGGGAATACAGTGCCCCAGTCAGGCTGGCTGCTGGCCTAGCCCCCAGGGGTCCTGTGCTGCCAAAATGTCCTGGACAACATCCAGCTACTTGAAAGGCCAGAACGTTCTTTGGGTCCTCTTAGAGTTCCCCTAGGTGTCTGGCTGCCCATAGGGCTTGTGGAGCAAGGGGTGCCACAGAACTGCAGAAGAAGCAAGTAGGTTAAGGAAACTAGGGGTGCCTGGCACATGGATGGAGTTGACTGACATTGCTGGATAGCCAGGGCCCTCCTTGGGAAGCCCAGAAGGACCTTGATTGGCAAGGTGATCATTTTGAACCCAGCTCTGCCTCCTGCTCTCTTCCAGCGCCACCTCTCCCCACTTGTGGGTCTTGAAGGAAGAGTAATCAGTGAGCCTAGATTAGGGCCCACTAATCGAGGGCCCAGAGGAACAGGGAGATACCACCTTGCTTCTCTCTTACTGTAAGAAGTCCTAACAGCCATGTTTGCCCCCTCTATCTGACTGGGTTCCTTCCTGTGCCCACAGAGAGGGGCTGGTCCTTCCCTCGGTGCTGGCTCTCTGTCACAATGCCTCAAAACACATGGAACCCAGGCTTACAACAGTCGCAACTGCTAATTTTCTTTTTCATTTTGCTTTCTAAAAGCAATTTGTTTATACTATTCATATCATTGTATAGTTTAATTTCATGTCATTTTGGATCTTATATTAAAATGTGAGAATTTGGGTTTTTTAAAAGAATGACTCCATTTTAGGTAGCCATTTTTGATGTTAATATATAGTGAGTCCAATGTATGCTTTAGAAGTAAAGACATTGACCATCATAGACCAAAGCACTGCTTGTCCTGGGCCTTCTTCCTTGGGGGAATGGTGGATATGGAGAAGCAGAGAGTTATGCAGTCCAGGGTGGCAGTGTGGGGACTGGGACTTAGGGCTAGGTTTGAATCCTGAGCTTTAAACATTCTGGCTGTGTGGCCCTCTTTGGGACTCAGTCATGTCATCTGTAAAATGGGGAGGTTAACCTTGCCTTGCCTGGTTGTAGCGAGAATTAATTGGAACCCTGCAGGAAGGCCCTGGGGGGGAAGCTATGAGTATGCTGAAAGTCCAAACTGCAGGTTTGGGGATGGACCCCAAGACATCTGGGGTCTTGGGATTGGTCCTTCAGCCCTGTGACCTCCTCAGGCTTTAAATGCAGCCCTGGAGGAAGGAGCTGGACCATGGGGGAGCAGCAGGTCATGGAGGGCCAGAGGCTGAGGACTGAGCCTGATAGGCATGAGAGCTGCTCAGCCCTGATGGAAAACCAAGGGTCTTTCTGTAATAGTGGCAGACCCTGCCAACCCAGTCCTGCCCCAGGGGGTGGCCAGCTGTGGCCCCATGGGCCCTCACCCTGTCTCTCAGGGACCCTTCTGCATGCCCAGCCAGACCTTTTCTCTTGTACCCCACCCTGCCTCACTGGCCCAACTGTGACTTAAGCTCTGTCTGTTGCTCATATTTGAGGGTGAAAGTGGAGAGACAGGGAGAAACCACCTTCTAGACTTGGGTGTCTCAGAGCCCATGGAGGGTAGTGAGCAGGAGACCCTGCCCTGGAGGGGATGGTGGGGATAGAAAGTCAAAAAGAAAGGAGCTGCAGCCAGATGTGGGGGCTCATGCCTGTAACCCCAGCACTCTGGGAGGCCAAAATAGGTAGACTGCCTGAGTAAAAGCAAGACCCTGTGTACTAAAAATAGGAAAATTAGCCAGGTGTTATGGGGGGTGCCTATAGTCCCAGCTACTCTGGAAGCTGAGTGAGACAAGAGGATCTCTTAAGCTCAAGAGTATGAGGTTGCTGTGAGCTATGCTGGCACTCTACCAAGGGCAGCAGAATGAGACTCTGTCTCAAAAAAATAAAAAATAAATTAAAAAATAAAAAGGCAAAGAAAGGAGCTGTCCACGCTGCAGCGTGCTCTTAGTGGAAGGCAGGAGAGCCCAGAGATGACCCAGACCCCGTGTTCCTCTTTTTCCCTCTGTTGTGGCCACAGGAGGCCCCTGCCCTTGAGAAGCCATGTGGTTCTTCCTAAGGCCTCTGCCTCTCAGCAAGAGGATGCCCAAGGCCCCTATTTTCGTGCTGGGCTCAAGTTCTGCTTACTTTGTAGCTATGTGACCCAGGCAAACCCACCCACCTCCAAGAGACTCCTTAGACAGCACTGGCATATGTTTGGGGCTTTCTAACTACAGCTCAAGTTGTCCTTCCTGAATGGACAACAATCTGTGTGTGCCAGGGCAGGAAGAGCCCGAGGTGGGCATGGCTGACCTCACATGGAGCCTGCAATGGCTTTTACTTCGCTTGTTCCCAATCCAACCCCCTCCCTCTCAAAGCAGCAGGGTTCCTATGGAGAATGGAGCCCTGGCTGGGGAGCCCAGATGCTTACAGGTGAAGTCCTGGCCCTTTGATAACAAGTGGCCTGAGGCCTGTGCCTGCATCTCTTGGGGCCTCAGTTCTGCATCTGAAGCAGACTTGGTGCTCTGAGTCTGGGGTGGTGATGAGATCAGTCCGTGTCCCTTCCCTGCCCATCCTGGCCTCCAGCCTGCTCCCCTCCACTGTCTCACACTGCTCTCTCTTTGTAACTGGCGGAAACAGTGCCAACTAGCTGAAGCAGCTGCACGCTGCACTTGGCCACAGATACCCAGGTATCCCTACTACCAACCTGCCCAAGAACCCTGACCTACAGTTTGGCCACAGCTTCCTGGGTCCCACACCTGATAGGCATCTCCCTCTCTTATCTTAAAGTGTAGCATTTTAGTAGGGGAGCTTCACACATTGTCCTAGAATCTTTCCCCTTGCCCCAGCCACTGACAGAATAGGAAGAAGATGGTACCTCAGGTCAAGGGTGACAATTGGTTGAGGTTAGACCTGGGAGGAAGGAGAAGGGACAGACTGACACAAGCCTCAACTTTGGGAGTTAGGCATTGCCCCTAGTTTGGGAAAGAAGGCATTTTCCTGGGTCCTAGAATTTGGTGCCAAGGAAGGCTTGGCTAGAGGGGACATTCCTGTGGAGCCTATTGTCCTGACAACTTTGTGGAACTCCTACCACAAAGGAGGACAAGGGAAGAGGACACTGCTCTCTGGGGGCGAAATCCATGCTTGGGAGTCCCGGTTTAGAGCACCACAGGCAGACCTGGTTCTGGCCCTGGTCCTGCCTCTGCCAGTCATTAGCTCTGAGGTTAGGAAGTATATTTTGCATATTGCTTCATAATGATAATAAACACCACTATACTTTGTAGTAGGTGTTTAATTTAGTTCAGTTAGGCTGGGTGTGGGTGGCTCATGGCTATATCCCAGCACCCTGGGAGGCTGAGGCTGGAGTTCAAGACCAGCCTGAGCAAGAGTGAGACCCCATCTCTACTAAAAATAGAAAAATTAGCTGGGTGTGGTGGTGGGCACCTGTAGTCCAAGCTACTGGGGAGGCTAAGGCAGGAGGATCACTTGAACCCAGGAGGTTGAGGTTGCTGTCAGCTATGACACCCCTGCACTTTAGCCAGTGTGACAGAGCAAGACCATGTCTCAAAACAAAACAAACAAGAAACCAAAACAATGTCAAAATTGGTGTGTTGGTTCTGGGAGACCTCAGGCCCCATTCCTGAGCCCCAGGTCCAGTTGGAGAGATAAGAGGAGCTGGTGAATGAACCCACTGTGGATAAGAGGGCATGAGTTAATCCTCTGAAACATCATGGGTCCTGTCCTTGTGGTTTGGGGGAAGAGTTCGGGGCGTGAGGACTTGATAGAGGCCTGTCTGGTGGAAAGGGTGAGATTTGTGTAGGAGGAGGTGGGGAAAGCATTTCTGGTGAAAGGAAGCCTTTGAACAAAGGTTCAGAGGTAGACAAGAGTCCAGAGCATTTGGAACATCAGGGAGACCATAGTAAGGTTTGTGCTGGGGGAAAGGGCCAGGGTCATGGATTGGGGTCAGGCCAGGAAGGCACAGAAGTGAGGCCATGAAATCTGGGCTGTCCCCCAGGCTGGGGTTGCAGGGAAGATTTCTGATACAGTCTATTTATAATGAGCAAGAGCCCTTGGAGGCTGAGAGGAAGCTGACATGTGGGGAGAAAGTGGCCCAGACTAGGTGGGGGAAGGACTCTTCCAACTCTTGGACTGCGGCCTCTGACTGCAGACTCTGCCACTGCCAGCAACGCCAAGAGAGCTTTCTTCTGAGGGGATGTCCCTTCTTCCCTTCAAGCCCTAGTCACATCTCTCCACTCTCAGGAATTCCCTCTGGTTTCTTCCCTACCCTTGGCTTACATCTCTCCCATAGCAGGGAGTATGGTAGCCATAGGCCAGAGGCTCAGGCAGGCTGGCTTCAATTCTTAGCTCTGCTGGCTGTGTGATCTTGAGCTAGCCACTTAACTTCCCCGAGTTCCTTTCACCATCTGTAAAGTGGGCCTAAAATTATGCATCTTGTGGAGACTGTCAAATGCTTAATGCATTGCCTTCCTCTTAAAAATTACACATAATATCAGGTGTGTTTATGATCTATTCTGTAGTTCCTTTAACCTTAGGTACCTATTTTTATATTTGTGAAATCAGGATTACATGTATATTCGGTGGGCAAGAATGTTTAATTACATTGCTGGTGTGGTTTACCACTCATGGCATCTTGGGCTGGAGGGACATGGTCTTCCAGGTGTACTCACATTCTGCTTTCAGGTTTGAATTTGCTGGGACTGCCTGTCTCTCCCACTGCACTGCAAACACCTCACAGGCAGGGATCGTATCTTGTCTGGGTCACTCTGGCACCCAGCACAGGGCCTGGCCCAGGCAAAGACCTCAAAAGTTTGCTGGGCCACATTCTGGGAAGGACTTGCCCTGTCATTTGGTGTCAAGGAGACAGGGCCAGGAAAAATACTCAAATGAAAATATTTGATTTGAGTATTTGATTCCCTGTGGGACTATTCAGGGTGTTTGCAGGAGCTTTCCCCCTGTCCTGTCAGGGACAGGCCAGGACTCTAGCATCCCTGCTGTGAGCCTTGGACAATTCCAACTCTTCTCTGAACTGTCATTTAGGGGGGAAACTAAGGGCTGTGGAATGTGGCTTCTGACACCGCAAGGGGCTTTGCCAATGCCTTCCAAGGTTCAAGCCAGCATGAACTGCCCACTGGGCTTGGGAAAGAGCTTCAGGGAGGTTTATATTCTACATTCTGCTGCTTCACAGAGAATAGAGGCCATAGGCCTGACCAGCTCTAGAGCTGGCCTCTACTACGTCATGGAGACTCTGGACACAGGGAAGGTTCCCCAGAGCACCCTGCTATATGGTGGGGACTTCAGAAAGAGGCACTTAAAAATCCCTTTCTATCCTCCTCCCTTTCTCCTTAGTGTTTAAATTCAGAATCTGAGGTGGAGGGGGCATGGTTGTGAGGCTGTAAGCAAGAGACAGGAACACAAGAAAAACCCAACTTCCAGGCTGGCCCTTGCACCTCAGTCCTGGTTGGACTTGGGGGCTTAGACCCTGACTATTGGGGGTAATCAGACCTCTTTCTCCATCCCCACCAGTCCTCTTGGAGTTGGCTGTGGGCGGGCAAGGGTAAGACGCTGTCATCTGGTGGTCCTGACACTACACACATGTCTCATGCCTTCCTGAGGGAGCTTCAGGTTTATTTCTACTCAGGCTCAAGTGCTGGGGAAATACATGGTGCCACCATATGTCCTCTGTCCGGCTGGGAGACCTGAGGTGGCATGGTCCAACAGGCTGGGGGTCAGCCTCCTTTCCACGGATTAATGCCAGGGGTCCAGGTAGTTGACACGACTGTGGAGAGAGGGAGGGGTGAGATAGAGGCCTCCAGGGTGTCCTGGGGAAAAAAATCTGTCTTCCTCTGAGCCTCCCCCCCAACCCATCTTTCTGTCCTCAAGGCTCTGAAAACACAGCTTCCATCTAGCCCCTGTGTAGGTCTAGAGTCTTCTGTGGCTCCCTATTTTCTTTTATGTTTTCTCAGTTGTTCTTAGCTTTCAAGCCCCTCTTACTTGGAATTGCCTTATCCTTCTCTCCCACTGACTCCCAACCATGAACTGCTTCACTCACTTGTCACAGATTTTCTGAACCTACTCTGTTAGGCAACGTACCATAATAAAACCCAGAAACTTTCTTCTGTGTGTGCACAAGGAGGGGGAAGGCAGATTTTCATCAATAATGCTAGTACAGTGGTCTATATGCTCGAAGACAGGGACCCTTAGGGGTGACCAAGGAATGTCAGCTTGGTCACAAGAGAGAGGCAGAGGGGTCAGGGAAGACTTCAGTGAAATTGGAACATTTGGGCTGGGCTTGAAAGAGTAAGAAGGAGTTTTCCAGGCTAAGGAGTGAGGGCTCAGAGCTTAAATAGCAGGGCCAGAGGTGTGGGATTGTGCTTGGTGGTGCCGCTGGGTTTGGGTGGCACCAAGATGTCTGGTATTGCTGAAGTGTAGGAGGTGGAGCTGCAGAGGTGGGAGGAGGCCCAGTGATGAAGATGTTTGAGTATCTTTGCACCACTCCCATTCTCATTCCTGTCTCCAAGCCCTAACTTACGGGTGACCCTACTGGAAACAGCAGCCCACATTTCTTTTTCTTTTCTTTCTTTCTTTTCTTTTCTTTTTTTTTTTTTTTGAGACAGAGTTTCACTTTATCGCCCTCAGTAGAGTGCGGTGGCATCACAGCTCACAGCAACCTCCAGCTCCTGGGCTTAGGTGATTCTCTTGCCTCAGCCTCCTGAGTAGCTGGGACT